GGTAACACCTATTGTATAAAAGGTGTTCAAATAAATATTTGTTAAATGAATGAATGTGTTGCAAATATTTCCTCAGACTATAACTTTTTATTTTATTTATGTTTTTTGCTATAGAAAAATGTTAAGCTGTATGTTATGTTGTCAAATATGTCTGCTTTTTCATTTATTGTGTCTGAGTTTTCTGTCCTATTTAAGAATGTGCCTCTCATCTCAAGGTTGATTATCCTCCTAATTTTTTTCTAAAAGTTTTATTTTTTTGGTTACATTTAAATCTGGAATCCATCTGGGATTTATTTTTGTATATGACATGTATTTCTTCCAGATGCCTAGCTTGTTGTGCCACTTCTGTAAATAAATTATTATTTTTCTGCTTAACTGAAATTCTACCTTTATGATACATTAAGTTCCCATGCATCCTGGACTCTATTTCTAATTTGTTCCATTATCTATTTGCCTACTTCTGGATCTTTATGATACTCTTTTGATATACTGATTTTATAGTAATTGTAATATAATAACAGAACACAGTTGTAATATTTACTATAATATGCTGTTCTAAGCAATTTAGATTTAATCCTCACAAAAATCTTATGAGGTAGGTACTATTGATATCCTCATTTTACTGATGATGAAATTAAGGGGAAGAGAGGTTGAAGAACATGTTCTGCACCCTACCACCAAGAGCACAGCCTGGGTATGAGCCCTGTTTTTAAGCATTAGGCCAAATTCCTTCTCTGTGTAGCCTAAAACCCTTTACTACTCTTCATAAAAATAATTTTCTTAGCTTATTCTTCTATAGTCTTCTTTAAAATAATTTTATTCCGTTCCCAAACAAAAACAAACCTCTTTATTGGGATTCTAATTAGAATTGCATTAACTTTATATATTAATTCTGGGAGGCATGTGTTTTTATAAATTAAGTATTCCCATTTAGAAACATGATAAACTTTCTGTATGTTCAGTTTTCATTTCATGTATTCTTCAAGGTTTTATTGTTTTTTAAAAAATAGGTCCTGTCTTGTAAAATTTTATCCCAAGTATTTAAAAGTTTTGCCATTGTCGTGAATGAAATTTTTGCCTACACTTGAAAGTATAGAGGAATACCTTTGATAATATTGTTCTCTCTCTCCCTTCCTCCCTCCCTCCCTTCCCTAACCTAATTCTTAGTTACCCAATGTTAAAATTAATATAGGAAAAAAAGATAAATTATAGATTCTTTTTCTTTGATTTACTAGTTTTCAAGATAATGAATTAATTTCCTATAATTCTCTGAAGATGATAGAATTGGTGTTTTTTGAATTGGTAGCCCTGGCCGGTGTGGATAAGTGCTTAGAATATTGGCTGGTGTACCGGGGGGTTGCATGTTTGATTCCTGGTCAAGGGCACATACCTGGGTAGTAGGTTTGATCCCTGGCACTGGTTGGGGTGCATGTGGGAGGTAACTAATCGATATGTATCTCTCTCACGCGGATGTTTCTCTCTCTCTTTTTCTTTCTCTCTACCTATCTCTCCCTTCCTCCCTTCCACTCTCTAAAAAATATGGAAAACAATATCCTCAGGTGAGAATTCAGGTTAAAAAATTAAAAAATATATTTTTATTGATTATTTCAGAGAGGAAGGGAGGAGAGAGAAATAGAAACATCAGTGATGAGGGAGAATTATTGATTAGCTGCCTCCTACATGCCCCCTACTGGGGCTTGAGCCTGCAACCTGCAACCCATTCATGTGCCCTGACCAGGATTGGAACCATGACCTCCTGGTTCATAGATTGATACTGAGCCACACCAGCCAGGCAAGGATTAACTTTTATACAAAAATTAACAGAATATGAAATAAAAGCAATGTAGATGAGCAAAGACAAATTGAACTTAACCCCTCAAATTTCAGATCATACCTAAAGTCATAATTCACTAACAGAAAGACATACATTTGGAATAGAAGTAATAAATAAACTTTTAGATTGGTTGACAATCCAATTAATGAAGATGAGAAAATCATATGAACATATGAGAAAAGATTTATGCTATGTTGTGATTTGGCATAAAATACTGAACAAAAAAATCCTATATAATAAAAGCCTAATATGCTAATTGTCCAGTCATCCAGTCGGCCGTTCAACCAATCAAAGTGTAATATGCTAATGATATGGTAAGGCTGCTCAACCTCTCACTATGATGTACACTGACCACCAGGGGGCAATTAAAAATTCTTAAAAATATATTATAATTTTCCTCTTATTTTATTTATATATTTTAAAGTTTATTTTTATTGTTGAAAGTATTACAGATATCCCCTATCCCTCTTTCCCCCATTGATCCTCTCCACGCTACATCAGGCCTTCACTACACTTTTGTCTGTGTCCATAGGTTATGCATATCTATATATATATATATATACACTAATAAAAGAGAAATATGTAAACTGACCATCACATCGCAATGCCCACCAGCCAATTAGGAGTGAGTATGCAAATTAGTGGGACAAAGATGGTGGTTGGGTGTGATCAGGTTGGAAGGGGGGCAGTTGGGATGAGGAGACCGTCAGTGGGGGTCAGTTGGGGGTAATCAGGCCGGCGGGGGGGCAGTTGGGGATGAACAGGCTGGCAGAGGGGCAGTTGGGGGTGAGCAGGCCAGTGGGGAGGGCAGGTGGGAGTGAGCAGGGCAGCACGGGGGACAGTTGGGGGCAAGCAGGCCAGCAGGGGGGGCAGGGGGTGTGATCAGGCTGGCGAGGGGGAGAAGTTGGGGGCCAGCAAGCTGGCAGGCAGAATGGTTAGGGGTAATCAGGCTGGCAGGCAGGTGAGCGGTTAGGAGTCAGCAGTCCTGGATTTTGAGAGGGATGTCTGACTGCCTGTGAGATCGGGCCTAAACTGGCAGTCGGACATCCCTTGAGGGGTCCTAGATTGGAGAGGATGCAGGCTGGGCTGAGGGATACACCCCTCCCTCCACACACAAATTTCATGCACCAGGCCACCAGTATATATATATATATATATATATATATATATATATATATATATATATATATATATATATTATGCAAATTAGGCCAGGACACTGTAACGGGTCATGACCAGACAGGAGGAGATTGCACGCACAGGTGAGGCCCAAAGTGGACACGGACAGGGACAGGGGGCCAGCCCGCAGCCTCCATGCCGGGGTCCAACCCCAGCAGGTCCAGGGGTTCCCAAAGGCGTAGACGGAGTCGGCCAAGAAGGAAGGACACGGAGACAGTGTTCAGTTGATCAGCAGCCTAGCCAGGATCTCCAGCCAGGATCTCCAGCCAAGTTCTGGTCTGGATCTCCAGCGAAGTTCTGCTGTTTATTGTCTTGTTACATCCGTATTTATCCCAGTTGATTTTAATCCTGTCAATTTCTATTACAAAGGTTAGGGCGTTTCTTATCTCCATTCCAGGGAGTAAAGATTATGTAGCTTAAGCATGATTGTTTGTAGTGATTAACTGCCCGCCTGGCACTTAGTTAAGGAGTTTCATCCCCTCCCTGACTTCAGGGAAAAATTCCTACCTGGGGAAACAACCTTCCTAGGAGAGGCATCCCATCCCTGACTTCAGGGAAAAATTCCTACCTGGGGAAACAACCTTTCTCGGAGAGGTGACCTTGGTTAAAACACACAGCGCTAAGGGGAGCAAACATATTAAGAACAGTATGCTATATACGCCAGGTCCCTTGAAACATATGCTGTGCAGATGTTTCTTTCCTGCAGCGACTGTGTCAAGCAGCAAGGATGGACCGGCTTCCGGCACCTCCGCATCCGCAGCCGAGCACAGGTCCGGAGAGGAGATGGCGGGCCCGCCTCCCATGGAAGCAGCGCAGTGCAGCTCCCGGTGGCACGCTACGGTACCTGCCGGCTCCCATGGAAGCAGCAGGCGGCCTACTGCGCACGATATTGCACGATGGGCTACTAGTATGCATATAAGTTCTTTGATTAATCTCTTACCACCACCGCCCTTCCTACTGAGATTCATCAAATAAATATTCATGTTTGTAACTAATTTTGTATTTGTAATTTTATTACTGTTGTTAAATAACACCCACCCATACACACACACAAATTTATATGCTTTTGGCCTCATAAAAATTGTCTGCCTAGACTTGGACTAATTTCAGTTGTCTTGCTTCTCATTCAGATACATTCCTATACCAGCTTCTGTTTGTTTGTTTTTTTAAAAAAATTAAATTTATTGGAATGACATTGGTTAATAGCATCCAGATTTCAAGTGTACATTTCTATGATATATCATCTGTATATTGCATTGTGTACCTACCACCCAAAGTCATATCTTCTTCCATTACCATATAGTTGACTTCCTTTACCTTTTACTACCTCAGCCTTCCCCCCTTTCCTTCTGATAATCACCATACTGTAATCTGTGTCTATGATTTTTTGTTTGTTTTTCTTGTTTGTTTATTTGCTGCTTTCAGTTTTATACCCCAAATATTTGTGAAATCATATGGTTCTTAACATTTTCTGTCTGTCTTATTTTGCTTAGCATGATATTCTCAAGGTCCATTCATGTTGTTGCAAATGGCAGAAATAAACTCACATTTATATGGACAAATAATTTTTTACAAAGAAGCCAAAAATGTACAGTGAAGAAAAGAAAGTGTTTTCAATAAGTGGTGCTATGAAAATTGGAAAGCCACATGCAAAAGAATGAAACTAGACTACAGTTTGTCCCCATATATCAAAATTAATTCAAAATGGATCAAAGACTTAAATATAAAATCTGAAATAATAAATTACATAGAGGAACATAAGCTACTAAACTTACGGTCCTATGGAAGATTTTATGAATTTGACCCTAAAGGCAAGGGAAGTAAAGGCAAAAATAAATTAATGGGAATATATCAAACTAAAAAGTTTCTGCATGCAAAAGAAATTGCCAACAAAACAAAAAGACAACTGGGGGAGAAGATATTTGCAAACAACAGTTCTGACAAAGGGTTAATATCCAAAATATATACAGAATTCATATTACCATACCAGCTTATTTTTTGAGGGGTAATGATGGTGCTTTCCTTCTGCTATATGGGACAGGATTTCCAAGGGATCTGAAGCTGAAGGTGAGACCAATTTCTAGGTTTCTTAGCGTGCTCCCAAGCATTATCTAAAAAAGATAAAATGCAAAATATTATTTGGGCCATTTGGCAGCCATTTGGAACACTAATATCAAATTGGATCACTACCTGCTTCTTCTGTCTAATATATTCCAGATGGACAAAAAATTTAAACAGGAAAAAAATGAAGTCATAAAATACATAGGAAAATTCCCACAATATCAATGTGAGAAAGGCTTTTTAAGTTTGATACAAATCCCAGAGGTCATAAAAGAAAGGATTGATACATTTTAATGAATAACACTGAAAAAATTCTGCTTGCCAAGAAATAAAGTTAGAAGACAAGCAACAAATTGAGAAAAAAAAAAACTATTTGTAATGCCTATCCCATAGGGTTTATTTTCTTAATATAAAAAGAGTTCCTACACATTAATAAGAAAAAGGATAAGCAATATAAATTAGGCAAAGTATATTAACAGCTGGTTTATAAAACAAGAAATACAGATGACTTGTAAACACATGAAAAGTTGTTCAATACCCTTATAATAAGAGAAATGCAAATTAAAACTGATAATCAGATTGGCAAAGATCCAAAAGTTTGTAGCACCTTGTGTAGGTGAAGATATTAGGAAGCAGTCAATTTCTGGTGCAAGTGTAAATTGGCACAACTTCTGGAAAGGGCAGATTAAATATGACACAGTTTCATTTCTAGAAAGTAATTCTATAGATGTCTACATTTATAAATTGTTACAAATTGAAAGACATTCACTGTAGCATTGTTTCTAATAGCAAATGTTGGAAATAACTCAAAAAGGGATTGGTTGAATACATAATGGTATATTCATCATTAGAATACTATGAGGTCATAAAAAAGAAGAAAGCGGTTCTATGCAGATGTGAAACCATCTTAAAGACACAATTAAAAATGCAATGTTCAGGGTGGGACACTGACATTTAAATGGGTACATTTAGTATTTATGTTTTCATGGACTATCTCTAAAAGACAGTGGTTGCCTCCTGGTGGGTGGGTAGACATTTACTTTTCACTACATATCCTTTTGCACTTTTTGAATATTTTTCATGTGCCTATCTTACATATTAAAATGTCACACTTAACAAATAAAAAAAAAGGAAAAAACAAAACAAAACAAAAATAAATAAAATGTCACATTTATTAAAAATAAGAGATGTGCCCAGCTGGCATGGCTCAGTAGTTGAGTGCCCACCTATGAACCAGGAGGTCGCAGTTTGATTCCTGGATAGGGCACATGCCCAAGTTTTGGACCAATCCCCAATGGGGGTGCGTGCAGGAGGCGGCCCATCAATGATTCTCTATTTCTCTGTTTCTATCTGTCTCTCCCTTTCCCTTCCTCTCTGAAATAAAAAAATATATGTATATATTTTTTAAAAAGATGTTCTGTAACTAGGCTAGTGAATACTCAAGGAGTGGTAGTTTTTCTTCTGAAGGCACATTACTGAGAACAAGATTATTACTCTAACAGGGAAATCAGTGAAGTTTCTGAACTATCCAAATCCCAGTCAGGGACTAACTTTAGGACACAAAATCTAATGTTGAGGCCTACTTAGCTCTACTGTAGTTATTTGTCTGAAGGAAGACAGCTGATAGATGGGAGCTGCTGAGCATAGGTTTAGAAAAGGAGGTCAAAGAGTAGAATTTGACAGGATTCCTCTAGGGCTGACTGATGGAGATGTTTTCTGAAGTGTGTCTTTTATTTTTCCTATAAAATTAGTAGCTGTCATTTAAATGATCTTTCAGTAGTAGCTAAGAACACAGCCTTTGTAGGCAAAGAGATCAGGGTTCAAATCCCAGTTCCTCTTTTTATCATCTGGGTGATTTTAAACAAATACCAATTCTCAGTTTATGTAGGGGTAAATAATCTTTATCTGAATGTTGTTATGGATTAAAGAAAATAACAGAAAAAGTCTAGCACAGTAGCTAGCATGTAATTGGTGCTCACTGAATAGCAACTATTGTTTATATTTATAGATTGCTTTTATCATCTCTATAGCTTAAGGTCCTAAAGATTGATTAATAATTGAAATAAATTAAATTGAATCAAATGTATAGCATCTTGTCATTATCAAGATAAATATGGCCATCTAGATAGGGTCTCTCAGAAGTTCAGAGAGGCTCTGACCATTTTTTCCTCTCTTTTGTTGTCTTACTTATTTATTTTTTGAGGCTATTCATATAGAAAATAAGTGGAAAATTCCAAAACAGGGCTTTAAAAAATTGTAGTGTGTTTTAAATGCTGTTTACATTAAATCTAGTGAAATATATTTGTGTTTTTCACATAATAATATTTGAAATATTAATGTATAGTGCACCACAGGCAGGATATGAGATAGATGAAAGTTTTATAATAAATGTCATCCTCTTTTAGTCACTGTGCATCTCTGGGACTGGATGGTTGACCTCCTTTGATGATGACATCAAACGACTGAAGCTCTTCATGAATGTGAGAGCCAGCCAAATGGCAGTCCTCAATCCCCAGCCCCAATGATAGGCCCCGCTTTATGGAGTAAGGCAGACTAGAAAGGCAACCTCCTATAATGGGCTGCAAAACCTAGACATGCACATTTCTCTCTTCCACTGGCTCAGCATTTCTAACTTGCCAGTGACAAAAGCCAGCATTTGTGTCTTGTGTCTTGCTCTCAGTTGGTGTGACACAGTCTTTAATACTAATCTAGGCAGATTGCTACTCCGGGGCCTGGATAATGCCCTTGTAATGCAGGGAAAATGGAATCCACTCACATTTTCCTGTATCATGGGGAGCTGCTTCAGCTCAGTTAAAATCAAGAAATGATAAAGTTAAAAGACTTTTCAAGAATCAGGAAATAGCTCCTAAGTGGGGTCTTCAGTTGGGCACTAAAGAGAAATGGCCCATTTTTCTCCCTGGTTGAGTGAGTTTTTGCTGCTGACCTGTAAATTCTACACTATTTCAAAGTTACTGGCTGGGAAATTAATGGAACCTGAGCTGGGAATTTTTTTTCTTTCTTACCCTATGTGTGATGTCTTATTTAAAAATAATTCAGACTCAAAGTGAATTTCTAGCAAATGGTGCTCTGGCTGCTATTAAATTTATTGATGGTGAATCCATCATTCCTGCTTTTTATGTATAATGTCGCTGATGTGGTGATTTTTTTTTAAAGCTCTATGCCATGAGACTTTTTTGAAATTCACCTCTTCCATTTGCCCGATAGTGCTATAAGTGATTCGGGTTAAGATACTGCTTCACAAATTAATTTACCATGTTGTTATTTTATGACAAAGTTTTGCAAAACCATTAAGTAAACCACACTTATTTTTTATATAGTGGGATGTTTTTGATGTGCTAAGATTTTAGATAAATTTGTTATTTATCTTGATGAAAGCCAGATAAATAAATGCTCCTATTGTGCCTAATAACTCAACTCTTTGCTTTCACAAGGCCAGTGCAAGGCTGAAAGGAAATTCATCTCAAAGCTATTAAGAAAAGCCAGATAGAAAGAGAGCATAAAAATGAAATGAACTATGGTGAGAGGGCCAGACCTTCTTCCAGAATGCTCTACATCATCCCAGCTACACAGAAGGAACAAAGATTTAGAGTTCCAAACTCAAGAATAGGAAGAAATGATGTGGGATGGTCTGAGAAAGGGATCAATCTATCCTGTGTTCATAGGAGACACAGGGAGAAAAAGAAATCTTTTGGCAAAAAGGTCTCACAGCTTAAACTAGAAATAGCATTTCTCACTCCCAAGCTGTCACCATGGCCCCCATATGAATACACCTCAAAAACAGCCCTGTTTCCATTGCTCTGTTCCCTGCCCATGCATGCAGGGGTACAAAACTAAGAGAGTGAGAAAACTACCTGGGTACCTCCTTCCTGCTACTTGGGGGACTGGGTAGTTCTAACTTTCAAGTTATCACTGAAGCCACTGGTAGCCAGACTATAAAGAAATTCTAACAAGCCATTTGGACCTTGAGGGTTTCCTCTAATAACCCACCTTGGGGAACCTTTCTTTTTAAATCCCTGCAAGTGCACAGCCCAGAGCTTGATGCCACTCTGCCTCCAGTACCACCTGTGAGATGTCTGCATGTCTTATCTTTCCATCAAGTTGGAGGACCTTGGGAATTCCTGAAAACAACAACAACAAAAAACCAAAAAACAAAAACAAAAACTAGGTCTTTATTACCACCTACCTAATGCAATTTCCTAAGCTGCAATATTTTTCTCATTTTTCTGGGTCCAAATCCAGTCCATCCTAAAAGAGCGCTAAAGCTATTTCCAGTAAGAAAGACTTTCTGTAGCAGCATCAGTCATTCTTTGTGGCCACCTATATTCCATGTTTGGAGAATCGCCCTCATGAGGCACAGTCCACTTTTCCCTATAACCTGACAATGCTGGATTCTCACTTTCCCAGCCTTTATTGTAGCTAGGGTGTGAGCATGTGATTTAGGCTCTCCCCCTGAAACACTCCCACCCCAAACTAGTTGTGAGAAGAAGCAGGGACTGGCTAGTCGGGTCTGTAGCCGAGGCAGAAAATTTGGCTCCCAGAGGCAGTAATGGCTGTGGTCCCTACAGCCGAATTCTGTGTTAGTCTCATAACTGTAAATAATTGTAGTGTGTTTTAAATGTTGTTTATATTAAATCTAGTGAAATGTATTTGTGTTATTCACATAATAATATTTGAAATATTAATGTATAGGGCACCATAGGCAGGATATTATTTAACAACTAGGGGCCCAGTGCACAAATTTGTGCACCTTGAAGGAACTGTGGGCCGTGAGGCTGCAGTGTGCACAGGGGCAGGTCTTGGTTCATCATCTACACCCCCACTCCTTCCACCACAGCTCCCACGCACTGATGGTACCGGCCTCACTTGCCCCCGCCGATGGCATGGAACAATTGGGGCCGGTGCCAGCAGTGGGTGTGAGTGGGGCCAGTGTTGTCAGCGGGCATGAGTGGCGGCTGCTGCCCTGATTGCCCCTCAGGAGCAGGGGAAGGTGTAGAAGCCCTGAGGGGTGATTGGGGCCTGCGCTAGGTGA